TGTGATCTGTCCCCGGAGAAACTCCAGATGCTGGTGTTGAATATCTTACTCCACATCTTCACTCTATAAAACTGACTGAACTGGGATGATGGAATGTGCTGTGAGCAGGTGTGTAAGATTGTGTGTTCACTTTTGTGTGTGTGAACAATCTGTGAAGTGTTCATGGGCTCATAAACCTGCATCTAGGTGTACAGATAAAGAGTGTGCTTCCACGACAGAAACCAAGAGAGAGAAGCTGAGATGGAGAGGTTTCCATAATGGCCTCCAACAGCCCTGCAATAACCCTCCCCTTCCTCGTTCAGCATTACAGAAGCTTTAAGGCAAGCCGTCCGCTACAAAACCATAAACCCTGCGTCTTCTTCCTCTTCTTACCTCCCTCTCATGGCTTAATTTACCCTCAAGCACTGTCAAGGGAAATTTGCTTGATGGAAAAAGTCAATAACGCGTAGCATGGGAGCCGCGAGTTATTGTTTCCAAATCATAAACAGGATCACATAAGCTAAATGATATCACAGAATAATCGGGCCGAGCAGGAGGGAGGACTTGTGGAGGAGGGTGCACAGAGTGAACGACCCATTTGGTGCTCTTTTGGGCCGGGCAGACCCTAAAAATACATGCCGTTTAATACTGATGAGGTTGACGGTGAATTTAGTATGCAGTTAGATTGTGTTTGTCGATGATATAGCCAAAGCAAAGTTCTATTTCATTTTGTTTTGCATATTGTTATGGAACGTGCTGACACTGCAGAAGCATTTTAAGTGCTTAAATGAGTATGTAAATATATGCTACGCTCTTCTCTTAATAACAAAATAAACAACAAAAAGGATAGTAGTAAGAAAATCACATTTAAAGGAACACACTTTTTAAAAAAATATTTATTTTATTAATTAATTACCATAATTTATTTTAGAACTAAATAGTTTTAATGTTTTTTTTAACCCATTGAGCAGATCTCTAGGTTGATGGGAGCACTTTTACCTATATCACCCTAGAAAGTAAATAATAATAAAAAATTTCTGCTTGTCTTACACTGTAAAACTCAAAAAGTTAAGGTAAGTCAAACGTTTGAGGATAGCAATCGCTACAAACCATTTAAGTTCAAAAACTAATCCTAATGAGCACTGTGAACTTAATTTATTTGAGTAAACGAAGCAATTTGAGCACAGTAAAACCTGACCAATGAAAAGAACTCAAACCAACTGAGTACTGTAAAACCTAATAAGTTAAGGCAATTCAAACCGTTCGAGGAAACCGATTACAATAAACCATTTGAGTTGAAAAAGAAATTAATCTAAACTGGGAACTAACTCCGTTTAAGTTGAAGTAATGAGGTATTTAGTTACTTCCTAACACTGAGTTCAAAACTCTTTTCAAATGAGTAGAACTAACTTTCAGCCAATTTTGAGTTAAACACACTCAATTCATTTGAGAAAGTTGACTGTTGGGTTTTATAGTGACAATGAAACCACAAAAATAAATGGAGAAAAATATGGAAACGGCTCAGTCCTGGGTTTCTGCAGGTTTTATTTAATCAAATTTTAGACTTTTTAAAGACTCCTTTAAGACCATTAGAAATAAAATTTTAGACTTATACAAGTTTAAAGACTAAGGATTTTTCTCAAATGACGTGGTATTATCCTGAGGAATCGTGCAATTGTTCATAGTTTTTTCCGCAAAAGTAGGAAATTTAACTTGGGGAATTTGCTTTAAAAACATACAACAGTTGTTGTGAATTGTATGTCTTTTTAATAAAAAAAAAACTTAAATTTAAAAAATAAGGTTTTATCGAGATGGATATATCATATTGAGCAACTTTACTTGGACAAAGCAAAACTAGGAGTGGTTTAAAATTATTTAAGACCTACAACACAACATTCCAGTGAATTCAAGACTTACCAAGGCCTAAAATTTAGTTTTTGAAATTTAAGACATTTTAAGAGCCTGCGAACAACCTGTGGTCATTTTTGAGTGAGAACCAGCGGTTTATGGGGTCACACTTTAATTTGATGGTCCATTTGTAGAATTTAGGTTACACTGCAACTAATTATCGTCAGATTATAAGTAGACTGTTAGGTTGGGGATAGGGTTATTGTAAGTTGACATGTACTTGCAAAGTTTCTTATAGTCAGTAAATGTGTTTAAGAAGCAATATCAGCAGATACTAAGCAGACAGTCTACTAATACTCAAATGCACCATCAAAATAAAGTGTTTCCGTTTATGGTAGCATGATCTATGCTAAGCTAAGCTAAACTAAAAGTCATCCTGTCAGACCCAGAGATCATTTGAATGGGAAAAAAGGCAAAACTTAACTGTTTTACTCTCAAAAAGTAGAATGTAGCTTTAAGAAAGTATCTAGTCATAGCAAAACGAATATTGTAGCATATTAGAATTATAACTTTAGTTTCTCATATAGCAGCTCTCTGCTCGTTTCACTCATGACTGACTTTGACGGACTGAACAAAAGAAATTAACTGGAAAAAATGTTCAATCCAACTTACTATTAAAGCACACACATTATAAGAAAAATAAAACTTTACATGAAATAAACTGCGGCACTGTTGCCTCACAGCAAGAAGGCTGTAAGAGCAAGAGCCTCGGCAATCATTTTTTGGGGGAACGATCCCTTTAATACATGCATCTGGCATCTTCTCGGATTTAGATGAAGTGGTCAGACCTACCTAACCTCCAGATGCAGCACCAGCAGGCAGCGGTCAGCGATGTCTTGAAATGATCTGGAGAGGTCAGTCAACGTCTGGAGAATCTGCTCTCGGCTGCGAACGCTCTCACTGTTCACCTGTGCATCTGAGCCTGGGGATACACCTACACAAAAGACCAAATAAGAGCCATAAAAAAAACCTGAAAAACAGATTTATAGCCAATATACTGACAACAAGTAGAATAGCTTCCTGAATTTCTTATGAAATTTAACAATTGACTATATTATAGATTTTGTTTTTACTTTTGGCCACGTAGAATAGATCCAGCTTGCATAATTCATGAATGCATAGCATAAACTTGCTAACTATTAAAACTTGCTAGGTCATTTTATAAACAAACAGCAAGAAACATCAGAAATAAACATTGCATTTTAACTAAAAAAACTTGTAAATGTACTCTAATAATCTTTATTTAGCATATTTTACAGCCTATTCAATGAGACACACAGCCAGAGGATGACTATCAAACAGAAAAGTGTGTGTGTGTGTGCAAGAATGAAACTATGCAATCAATGAGGCACGACAAGATGGCGATGGACACTGACTTCCTGCAACTCTCTACGGCATCTCTGCACTTCTGAAGGTCACATTCACACACATATTAGAAGAAACTAGAGTGTGTGTGTGGACGGACGTGTTTGCTGTACTGATGGATGCTGGTTTGCTCACATGGCCCTTGGTCCCTTGTGTTTGTACAGCAAAATGGGCACTGCCATTGAACAATTACATATATACACATAGTCCATCATCAAAAGAGATAGAAGGGGCAGCACATGTTTATATATGTGTGTGTTCATTTGGTAGTTAATTACTGTCTGTCTGTAACTCTTAGCTGGAAAAAGGTTTGTGGGAGATAAGGTTGTGTTTGGCATGGAATGATTAAAAAAACGCTTGAAGACAAGGAGTACAAATATAGCAGCGACGACCAGGTGGAAGATTAGAGGCACTGGGCCACCGAGGACTGATCTGTAATTCCAGAGAGCGGAGAAAATGTCCCTGATGTGACGGCCTGCGGATAACAGAACTGTCAGGTCGTTAGAACAAGCAAACAGTCCATTTCAATCCTATTTTGCAGGTCATTTAAACTCCATAGCAAATCAGTAATTACCTTATTTTATTTATACTGAAAATGTGAGCTAATCTAAAATTAAGGTGAGCCATTTTTTCACTCTCACATCCTTTTAAACCCAGAAGACCTTACAGTACTTCTACTGTAAAATCACAAAAAGAAGTGGTCATTGTTGGGAAAAAGAAATATATTTTAAACATATCTTTGTCTCTTTTTCTTTTCATTAAACAATTGTATTTGTATTGCTTAAAGATGATATATAAACTGAACTTATTCTGTTGAGTGAGTAGACGAAGCTGATAGAAATGTCCAAAATGATTGTCTAAAATTAACTTGAGCTTTGCAGCGAAACTTCCTGTAAGCAGAAATGTGTTGAACACAGAATATGTGCTGCTGAGAAGTCTTATGCTTTTAATGTTGTGCAGAGAATTTGTAGAAAAGGAGGACGTATGTATGGGTGCGGCCAATGAAGGACTGGAGAATAATTGACAAGTGATGAATTTCACTAAACTCCACCTGTTAATATCAGCTGCATGTCTATGAAAGTTGAAGTCAGGAAATAAGAGTTGTTGCGGACCTCCTGAATGTGGCTCTTGCATTGCATTGACAATCCCAGAATTCTGTGAATTGAATTATTCATTTGTATTCAATAGATTACTTATATTTTTGACATTGAAGAAAAACCTCTCCTGACCATTTTTATTGAACATGCATGGAATTGATTAACTATTGCATCATCATCCTGCTCCTTTTTGTATATAACTAAAGTAATCATTTTAAATCTGTATATACAGTTGAAGTCAGAATTATTAGCCTGCCAGAATTATTAGACCCCCTTTTTATTTTTTTCCCCAATTTCTGTCTAAAAGGGAGACAATTTTTCCGAACACATTTTTAAACATAATAGTTTTATTAACTCATTTCTAATAACTGTTTTATTTTATCTTTGCCATGATGACAGTAAATAATATTTGACTAGATATTTTTCAAGACACTTCTATACAGCTTAAAGTGACATTTAAAGGCTTAACTAGATTAATCAGGTTAACTAGGCAGGTTAGGGTAATTAGGCAAGTTAAAATACAAGTAAACGATAGTTTGTTATAAAAAAAAATAGCTTAAAGTGGCTAATAATTTTTTCCCTAAAATGGTGTTTAAAAAATTAAAAACTGCTTTTATTCTAGCCGAAATAAAACAAGTAAGATTTTCTCCAGAAAAAAAGAAGAAATATATCAGACATACTGTGAAAATGTCTTTACTCTGTTAAACATAATTTAGGAAATATTTAAAAAAGAAAATTCAAAGGGGGGGCTTATAATTCTGACTTCAACTGTATGTGCATGCTGTATATACCTTGATTATAATTAAGCCTGCATAATTATATATTAGCTATTTTCTAATTGCTTTTATGAAATTAATTATTTATCAAATATTTTCCAAGTGCTGCTTAATTGAGGGTTTTGTATTATGTTTGTTTTAATAACTAATTTCCAATTACTAATTTATTTCGTCTTTGTCATGATGACAGAACATATTACTTAATTAGTTATTTTGCCAGAAACTAGTATTCAGCCTAAAGTTCAATTATAGACTTAACTAGATTAATTAGGTTAAGTAGACAAGTGCAGTTAATTAGGCAAATCGTTGGACAACATTGGCTTGTTTTGACGCCAATCAAGAAAAAAAGAGATCATTTTTTTTTTCTAAAAAAACTGCTTTAAATCCAGCTAAAACTAAAAAGAAAAAAAGAAAAACTAAAAGAAATAAGACTTTCTTCAGCAGAAAAAAATGTAGCAGGCAAAAAAATATACAGTGGGGGAAAATAAGTATTGAATACATCATGTTTTTTCCTGGGAATAATATTTCTAAAGGAGCATTTGACAAGGAAATGAACCAAAATTTAGTAAAAACCCAAACAAAAAGTATTATGTGTAAAAACAATGGACACAATGAGAAAGTACCGAACTACTGAAACACATTAATAATTTTTATAAAAAGCTTTTTTTGGTGATGGAAGCTTAAAGACCAATCTCATATGGAGAATGAAGTCATGTGCATTGCTCAGGTGGGATTTTATTCACAGACTTCAACTGAGTGTAAACATCTTGATTGTTCTGTGGGTCTCATCTATCAAATCTGATCTTTTTTTTTTGTATTTTGCATTGGCTGGGCCATCCTACAGCTTGATTTTCTTTCTCTGAAAACATTTGAGAGTTTCCTTGGCTGTGTTTGGATCATTGTCTTGCTGAAATGTCCACTCTGGTTTCATCTTCATCATGCTGCTAATGTAGATGTTAAGCTGAAGCAGCTAATATTAATTTTACAATGACGAAGGGGAAAGGCTTGCTGAAGAACTACTGAAAGATTTCAGCAGCTGTCTGAGCTTTCACTGCCTTTCAACACCCCCCTTTCTTCATGCGTTCAATAATTTTTCTCTGTCATTTAATTTTATTACACATTACTTAATATGTGAACTATTTAGATTTGTTTTTTTTTGCATAAATGAATTTCAAGTTAAGCCAACGGCACCTTTAGAAATATGTTTTCAGAGAAAAACGGTGCCATGTACAGTAAAATGTACTTGTTATGTTAAACATCACTTAGGAAATATTCAAACGTGCGCACACACACAAACACACAAAATATAATTATGTTTATGAAATAATGACCATTCACATTAGCGTTACATTAATATATTACTTAATATTTAATTAAATATATTTTTTAATATTAAATTAAATCCTTGACAATATTTATCATATTTAACAATTCTCATTAAAAGTTTTAAACAAAGCTTCAAACAGATACTTTCAGAGTGCTTTTAATCGTTACCTGCTTTTGCATACCCAGCCAAAATAACACATTTACCAGTTGGGTGCAATCAAAAAAAAAAAAAAAAAAAGCCACTGTTTATTTAAGCCAGCTCATCATTTTAGCGAATTTGGAACGGAGCCTTTCATGAACAGCATGATCCAGACATCCACAATGTACTGCAAATCCAAAAGGAAGCCAATGCTGCACGCCAATTAACCTGCGCGTTTGAATTACGCAGTTAGTGTGAATTTCATCCATGTGTAGAGCTGGTTGTCAAGTTGTGGGTTTGTTAACACAAGTGTGCTCGTGTATACCCATTCCAACTGTCGGTGAGCGAGTGAGCAGCAAAGCATGGCTGCTCTGTTCGACGTCTGTGTGTGCCAGGACCCCCCGCCCCAGACCCCCACTGAGGGTGTGAGATTGAGATCGGGCCTGCTGTCCATCGCCTCTGAGCTCGTCCCACCGCGAGGGTGCGATCAAGGGCGTGCCACATGGGGCTGCCAATTCAGAACATCTCTTGCTTTTACTTATATGTGCTTTCATTTCTTTTATCGAAGGCTGTGCGCTTGCGTAGACGTGTGCCGTGTGTGTACGACGAGCTCATCCAATTATTTTCAAATCCTATCTCGCCTAAGCGTCTGTTCAATGCCATCTGTGAGAGGGTGGCACGCATAAAGACAGAGAAAGTGGAGATCAATCATTCGCTGATACCCTTCTCGACGGCCACATCCCACTGGCTGTCAGGGTGAAGTTTAAGCACGGCCCCAAAAAAGTGCTGTTGAAAAAGTGCATCACCTCTTACCGGCTGTTAAACACGGCGCTCTAATAAACAAGATATCTGACCTCTGCGGCAGCGGAGGGAGAGGGAGATGGAGAGAGATAAAACGAGAGACAGAAGCCTCATGAATGATGCATGTGATTGGCTGAGAGCGTTAATTATTCGGCTGCAGTAACAGCGGTGACATCTGCATGGGGAGAGCCGAGCTCAGTCTGCTGGCGACCTCTGACCTCACTGCGTCAGCGCTTGGCGGCTAAGCCTTCAGGACAGGACTTGAGAAGAGGGAGGAGAACTGAAAAAAAATGAGTAGGTGTCTACTGTTCCAGAAATTAAGGCATGTCTGTGTGTATCTACACACATTATGCTAATAGATGGAAAGCAGACCTTTACTGTTGGCGATAAAGGTACTTTAAAAAACTCCAGATAGCTTGACCCAAGACTCACTCTTTCTTTGGGAGTAAAGGCTATAAACGCTCAAAGCTGGTTGGTTCAGCAGTATGAGAGGGCTAAATCTCCTGAGAGCTGCAGAAAGACAGACTTAGAAGATTGTGAAAAGAAAAGGGAGTAGTTTCGACAATGGTTTGGAGGTTTTAGGTCTTGCAAGCCTGGGTGTGGAAAGGTCTTGCCCAGTGGATATAGAACTAGTCCTGAGATGAAACTCAACATTTGGTCAAAGTACTGTTCTTTTAAAGAAAACTAGTTCACTAGGCAGCTTTTTAGAGCTATGAGAGGACATTTTGGCTAGCTGTTTTATAGTTACGAGGGAACGGCTCCTGTTTGTGTAAATAATGAATGGTTTCAAGATTTTTTGGGTTGATAGTTGACATTGGAAGGCTTAGACTTTTGACTTGTTGCCTGGCTCAATCACTCACTTTCCTTTGGCTAATTCCCTTCTTCATTAGGAGGCCTGAAGACACATTGCAAAATGGATTTTAGATAGACTGTTCTGAGAGCATAACGACATAATCATGTATGACAAAATAGAGAGAGCTTTTTGGATAACTAGAGGAATAATAAACAATAGTAATTTCTTCCTTGAAATGATAACAAAAGTGGAAAAAGTTAGTCCAAAATATGCATTTAAATACAAAATGACAACCAAGCAGAGCTTTCAGATGCCATCTTTAATTTTTTTAGCTCAACTGTTAGAAATGGAACCCACAGGATTGTGGGATATCAAAGCAGCGAAGGATACATCTATGCTGCCTTCAGAAATCTATCAGATGAAGATATCTCAGAGGACAGGAAGTGAATCTCGATTAGGATTTAAATGTGCCTTGATGCTTTCCTACCTTGGAGTGCATCCTTTGAAGGCAGCATTTTACAGTTTTTGGATGCAGCCACAGTTTGTCAAGATAACGTGCAAGCATTCAAAACTTTGGAAAAACATGACTATAACATTTGATTCTTACGATGTACATCTTTTATATCTCTTAATTTATAATGTTAATTTACATATTTAAATGTCTTTATCATAAATAATAACTTTTTTTAATTAAATGGCAAGGATACTATTATCCGGCAAAGTAGGGAGTGCAGTTTTTCCCCCATTCAACTCTTGACAAATGGTCTGTCTCTTTCTCCTTACACTATCCCTGCTGGTGCTTTCTGCTCCTGCTGATATTATTGAAAGGTTTGACCCATATTTTATTCAATATTGAAAAAAGAAGAGAAGAGCGATGTTAGTGAGAGTTTGAATTTGACTTTAGACAGGGTTCCATCCACAAATTTAGGATACTCATTAAAAAAGAAAATAGTAACATGGCAATAAAGTTTCTAAAAATCCATACATTTGCTTGATTAACTTAACTTCAAACAAAGAATATACAAGAAGTTTTCATCAAACCAGTGTTTCTCAACAACGTCCCTGCAGGACCACCAACACTGCATGTTCTGAATGCCTCTTTTGTCTGTCACATCCATTACAGGCCTTCCAGTCTCTGCTAATGAGCTGATGATCTGAATCAGGTGTGTTTGCTTAAGAAGACGTGGAAATTGCGCAGAGCTGGTCGTCATCCAGCAACATGGTTGAGAAACACTCCATTAAACTATCAAAAAACCTACTAGAACAGTGTTATACACAGTATATTGCTGACTTATGAACTTAGATTATCAAAAATGTTTTAGAGAATGGTCAAATCCAGAGATATAAGCAACTTTAACTGGTGACACAGAGTATATCAACAAAGTAAATGGAAACTTTTATTTTTAAGTAGGGGCCAAAACTTTTTCACTCTAATCTAGATATAAGGCATCTTCTGATACCTGCAGACAGAAAAGTGTTTTATCCGTGCACTCTAAATTGCTTATAGCTAGACTTTTTGCTTTAACAATTTTTTTTCTGAAAGCATATTTACAAAGCATAGCATTTTATTCAGAATACTGTATACTGAAGATCACCATATTGCCTCCATAATTTATAACGCAATAAACTCTAAATGCTGCGAGGAAGAAAAACACTAATATAATTAAGGGAAAATAATTCACACAGATGCACACACGAGAACATACAGAACCGAAACACAGCTGTCCTGAGGACAACAGGCTCTGGCCGCAAATACATTTCAGGAGGATTATCTGTTATTAAAAATATCCCAGATGGCTGTCGAGACACAAACTCTCAATCTTGAGTTTGACCAATCCAAGCCGATTGATTTCCACCCAAACAACACGTCCTAGGCTGAAGAGCATGTCCTAATCAAATTTAGATAACATTAAGATTCAACACCATGACAGAGAAGATGGAGATTATCACACGCATCTTATCGCAGATGTCTGAGTGTTTGTTTTAGCAGAGGCTTGAGGGATGAAGACTGAGCTGCGTCACGGATTAGACTAACTCAGACAAGGACAAACTCTCACTGCTCTTCCGACAAAGCAGCAGACGTTCAGTCTAGCACATCATGGTGGCCACAGGTGCATGAAGGAAGTCTCTTGCTGACCACGGCGGGCCTGGGTTTTACAAAGACAAGGGCAAAAGAGCTCTTTCTCTCTCTGTCTAGGAACTCCCTTCACTCGATCCACTTCAAAGCTCAGTCTCTGGTGGTGAGACACTGTTTAATCTCCCCCACATTACACTGGCAAACGTGTATTAGTCTGCAAGACAAGACGGGAGAAAATGACTTGTTCATACCTGACTGGCTCCATAATATAAAATCCAATTTAAGGGGGGGTTACAGAGATAAGGGCTTCCGTCGGCGACGGTCCCATCAGCTCAGCAAACACTAAATAATGAACAATGCTGAAGCTGTCCCACCATGATAAAACACTCCATTACGGCTTCTGCACAGAACTAATGGTAATTACACCACGTCCTCCACTGCGCTCTTATTGAATTTTTATCTGCTCCGGACGCCAGTCGCTCTGAAGCTGTCTCTACCCCCCAAAAACAGAAATAACAATAGTTTTAAAATAGCATATTTACAGATTTTGGTGAACGAAGTGGAGGTAATTCTGAAGGTATTGTGTGAAGTTTTAGAGATGTGGCTGTGGTGACGTCAAACAGCCAGCGCTGAAGTTTCTCTCAAGTCTGGGAGCAATGCTGAATATTGTCAATATATTTAAGTCTGTGTGTGTGTGTGTGTGTGTGTGTGTGTAAGAATCATTAAGAAATGGTTCACACAGAAAACATTCTGAGCTATATTTGATCAGTTCTGATAAAAGTCAGTTCCGGGTCCAAAAGTAGCTTAATCATGTTAATCTTTCAAATCATCACTCATACCTTTTATCATAATATAATCTATGAAAGAGAACAATTATTAAATAAAAAAGAAATGTTTGAATTACAATACAAGATGATGTGCTTTCACAACAACACAAAGAAATAAATACACAGAGACTCACTGGAACTGTGCGGCAGACTGCTGAAGAAGCTCCTGAGACGGGTAGCGAGCCACTCCATGCTCTCCTGCAGGTTAGCAAGAGCCTTCAGATCACTGACATCCCTCAGAATCTCATTTTGGGGAATCAACTTATCCCCCAGATTGCCCGTCAAAACCTCAGACTCCTTGGCAAACGCCGCCCTGCGAGAGACCAAATAAAAAGTAATGAATATTTCTAAAAAATATAATAAATAAATAAATAAATAAAAAATAGGAATATATGTATGTGCATGTTTTTATGTGCATCTACTTATTATTTTTTTTATTAAAACCGATTTTAATTAAACCGATTGGAACAAAATATGTTTTGCTTTCCTTTATAGTTTCAATAAAAAGAACAATAAATAAAACTGACATAAAAAGTCAAATAAAAATGATAGACAGACAGAAAAACAGACAAATGTTAACAAAAATATACATAATACAAAAAACTAGCACAAAACACAATTCATTGTACAAATACACAAACCAAAACACAACCAAATGACTAAAACTTGATTAATATTAATATAAATGTATTATATTACTATTACAACTTAATCAACTAATAATACAAACTATAATTGTCTCTATATCATGTCATTGATACTAAAATTGACACTTAAACCATAGACATAGATAGTTTTGGTTAAACCTCAGAGTAATCTGTTAAATGATTCGATTCTCATTGTAGGCACCACGAGTTGTACCTTCTCCCTTCTGGTATTTGGTACAGAACTCCTATTAGTAACAGGATATGTACATGAATCAGAGAGTTAATTTCATTAGCTTTTAAGACCTTTTTAAAGACTCTTTCCATACATTTTTAGACCTTATAGCAACTTTTAACCAGAATTACTGGCGAGATTTTAACTTTCATATTATATTTATTAAATAATAATGTAAGAAACTAATCCAAAACTAAAATGTTATTCATGTATACGGAATATAAATCTATTAAATCCAGCGAATTCAGCAGGTTGGCGCCTTTTAAATACGTATTAAGGGCCTTAAATATCTCTACATTGATTCATCAACTTTTAATACTTTTTAAGACCCCGTGGACACCTCGAGTAAAACAAATTGGTTCATACTTTCATATATCCCCTCAGCTGTAAAGCTTTTAAATTTAGGGTAGATTTGTATTGTGTTTTCTGTATTATGTGTGCTATGTTTGAAAATGAAATATGAGTGAAAATGAGTGAAAATGAATAAGGGGACAACTAAAAAGGCCAGCAGACTTTTAAAAGGGCAAAATAGATGTTGCTCGTCCAGGCAGGAAGGTGTGATGACAGTATCTTGGTGTTTTGGGCACCCCACTTGGCACACTCTCAGCACTGGGCCAGATGCCCACACCGGTGCTAATGTGCACTTAAAAAGGCTTTCCCTTCCTCTCCATCTCATAACCACAGCAGCAGCTGGTGCTCAGTTTTACAGGCACATTCAGACGACTGATGCTAAAACAAATCTATAAAGTCAGTATTTTCTTTGACCTCCTTCTCTGCAGGTCCGTGATGAATGTGGGAGAAAAGAATATCCTCGCGGCTCATTTCTGAGCGCTGTGAAATTCTTTAAGATAAAGCGCGGCGCCTATTGAACGGAAGACTTTTTAACAAGCTTTTATCGCTCTGTATAGGATTGCCATACATGTGGCGTAATCCCTCTTTAGCTGATGAAACTGTCAGGGTCATTTATATGATAAAAGCTTCCTCCCGCTCGCCGTCCGCGTTTAGCTTCAACAGGTTGGCTAGATTGGATTTTTTTTCCTGTCCACACATAACCAGTTCATTTATTTATTGTACAATTGCAGACCATGGCACATCCAAACCGACGGGAGAACACTTTGAGGGCAATTTTGATAAAAACGTGCCCCCCCCTGTCCAATCACAGTTTTCCTCAAACTTGTGTCTTCTTTAATTCGAGTGTGCACTTGAGAGGAGAAGAGAGAAAGTGAGGGAAGTAGAGCGAACGAGTGAATTGAAAACAGAATTGCGTGTGTTTGGGATGCTGGAATGTTTCGTCAGATAGTGTGATTGCCTGCAGTTGAATTTGTTCTTTTTCAAAGTTGTCTGCTGAGGCTATAAGGGCTAGATTTCATCCTCTGTAAGACAGCACACAAATAGAATACCAACGTGCATTGCCAGCTGGCAAACTAAAGAATCATCACTTTCAACACTAAGGGCCCTATCATACACCCGGCGCAGTGTGGCGCAAGACGCGGCGCAATAGTCTTTTGGTAGTTTCAGCTTGGCGCAAGAGTCGTTTTGAGGCGTTGCGCTATGCTGTTTAAATAGCAAATGCATTAGCGCTTATTTGTGCGCCCATAGGCGTTCTGGTCTAAAAAGGAAGGCGTTCTGAGGCGGACCACTGGCGCGTCGCTATTTTGAGAAACTCAAATAGATTTTTCATTAGACCAAAACTAACCTGGTCTAAACTCCGGCGCAGAGTTGCGCCTCGCTTGCGCACTGCTTAATACACACAAGAGAGCAATAGGCAAATATCTTTACATATGAAAAAATGTAAATATTAAGGATATATATAGGATATAATAAGAATAGATATAGGATATAAATATAAAGGATTAAAATAATACAAAATATATTATTTTCTAGCCTACATAAATATGAAAAATCACTGCTTTTATGTCTTCTTCATCTCGAGAGGCTTTTTCAGTTAATTCATAACAATTTGCTTTTGTATAATGTTATTATTATTAGCAGTACTATTTATTATATCCATATTTATATTTGTTTAATTAAAAACAAGCTTAGATTTGCCAACCTGTCAGGTTTAAGACCATATGGGGCATGGCAGGTGTGTTTGGAAATAACTCAGTATTTTGACCACACTTGGTCATTATTGTTCATTTATTCGTTTGCTAGAAATTAGAACTGAATTTAGAAATAGTTTTGAAACAAATCTTTGCGCTTAACAAACGAAATTAATTATTTATAGGCTAATTGATGTCTGTGCGTAAAGGTTTCCCTATCCAAGAGCGAAAGTGAAAGTAGATCATTTATCTCTCATTCTCACGCAGTAGATGCTCTGTTTAAAAGTTTCTGTTAAAAATCTGTCAACTGTTAATTGTTTGCTTGTGAAATGCTCATTTTTTCCCACTTAGACTTACTTTGCGTCCTGCAAATAGCGAATGCGCTCTTGGCGCGACGCAGCTGGGTCTTAAAGGGAATGGGAGATGAAACTATAATTGGTTTATTCTCAAAACACACCTATAACTCATTAAGTAAATGAACTCAACCCTTTTAGACCATGCGCCTTGGCGCAAGGCAGATTTCCCGTCCTTAAATTAGCAAAAACGTGTCCTGACACGCCCTAAAAGCGTTTGCGCCCTGCGTTTTGCGCTCTGCGCATGGACCGTCAAAATAGAGCCCTATGACATAGAATCCTACAGATCTGGGTATACATTTTTTTTGCATAGACTTTTCCAAGTATAATTTATCTGATAGTGTGACTAGAATGATTCAACCTTGTCCACCTTTCTGAACTTTTTCTTCCTTGCTTCTTATGATCAATAAAACAGCTTTTGTACTCTTTCAAACTAAAGTTGCTGATGTATTTTATACCTCATTTGTACTTGCCTTCAGTTTGCTGCTTTGTTCTGTGTACTCGGTTGTTTTTCTGACTCTTAAACTAACGGTCAGGTTTAGTGAAAAACCAACTGGTGTATAATGGCATACTTGGCCATGATTAGAGAGTAGTAGCTTCAGGGGTTGAAGGTGTAGTAGGTGATTGTCTACAGAATTTTTTTTGTGTTGTGCTGGTTGAAAGTCTCTTTACATTGTAATGATAATGATTAAAGTAAAGGATCTAAATGAGTTTATATGTATTTTTATATTCTGGGTAAGGCATAAAACGAAAAATGTTCATCCAATTAAAATTTGTCAGGCCAACAATACCCATTATTCTGATAAGTAGCCCAAACTGTCTGTAAGCAAATGTAGATTCGTACAACTGTGCACCCTTGTTCACGCTGATCTGCCATGTGCACGTGTACGCGGTAAAAACAAATGCTGAATCAACATTTTTTTTAAATCCTGAATGAGTATTGGAGTTTTGCCCGCTGGAGGAAGGATGATACCATATCTGAAGTATTTCTTTTAGACAGGTAATGTTATGTTTTAAAATTATTTTAGTCACGTAAAGCTTAGATTGCTGTGCCTCCCATATATAGATTTTACTTGGGTGGGTCGCCCAGGTACTGTATATTAACGGCCGCCTAAGTATATTCAGTGACACCTTTTTTTTTACTATTATAAACATCCTTTTACACTTTTTTATACACCCAATATAACCAAACATCCATGATCAATTAAGCAGTGGAAAATCTCTTGTTTACTCGTTCCGTTCTGAGTCGTACCTGTCAGCACTGCCACAGGTAGTCTCATGTGCATTGCAGACTCACAAAGATGTGCCGTTTTGGGACTTAAAAAAAAAATCCTGCCTGGGTTTCTAAATTTCCTAAAATGTCCGGGATTCAACTTTTTTCTTTCGCTTTCTAAAGCTCGTATGCATTTTTGGATTAGCCTAATATTTTATTAAAGACTACTTTCCGCTTCCTTCGAAGCTGACAGCACACGCAAGAGAAAAAGTAAACAACAGAACCTTTCATCTGAACGATTCAGAAAAACTTTACTATATACCTGTACTTGGAGAGAACGAAATGACTGGTCTAAACTGGCTGCAGAATATATGTACACCATTAATAATGGTTACTCAATGCATGTGCCTAATTTAAATAATCAAGAAGTTGTAATTATGATTATTTTTAGAGATATTGTCTGTTTTTGTTCCTTTTCTGTCATTTACTTCTTATTTGCTGATTACATTATTAATTTAATGATGTTAATATATTACATATTTACATACACATCTAATTTGTATATTTTAAATACAAATCAAATTTTCTTTGACCTTGAAAGAGCAAGAGAAGCAGAGTTCTCCCTTTCAGTGTGCACATGGCTCTTGCATAGCATAAAAGTAGGAGAAACGGTTTTATTTCAACAGTCTTTTTTTAACTTTAGCTCTCTGAGAAGAAAGTGTGTATAACAGTGCCATAATAAATACAGTTATTGTTAAAAATATAATTATGCTTTGTCTTTCGCATTTACAGTAGTTGGTGTGTTTCAATTCGGCCACCACCGCAATGGATTGTGTTGATTTACGAATGGGTTATATGCACGGAAGTGCTGTTCAGCCACTAAAATCTCCCAGGGAAAAACTGATGTGACTATTTTCAGTTTCATAAGGGACCTTTAAAAGCATCGATAATGTAGATTTTTATTTGTTTGTTTTTTTAAATCAGTAAATAGTGCTTAGCCTGTTTTACTGAGCTGAAATTGGTTTTATATACACATTGGTTCATTTTTGAACAATGACAACCTGTGATGCGCACTCTATATTGTTTACCATGTCACTTTGAATATTCAGTCTGAAATAGTATGTAAGTATGACTCAGTGATGAGCATAATTCCTGCAAGCCGCTGGCCAGTAGTCGCTTTAGGTGAGAGTGAGACCAGCAATCCTTGCATGCATAAAATAATTAACATTATGACAATTTTTGCTTGGTAACTACACAACTGAAAACATGCTAGATATAATACAGTGTTTCGTTCAGAATTTTAGCATAGACCATTTCAATGTGCTCATGTTATTGGCCCATGAACATTTCCTGCTAGTTATTAAACTATTTTATAACTGTAGAGGCAATTCAATCATAACCTAATGTTAAATCAGCTATTATAACATTCTTTATCAATATGTGGCTCTTTTTGGATTCTCAGGGCTGATAGAATTTAAAAATGTAAAACATTAAATGCATTGGGAGTATTGCTTTTCTTTACATACCTTAAAATGGTCTATTATAAAGTACTATAAACTAATTGGCGAATGACATGATCCAGATACCTAGAATCCAGGTAACAGCACCAACCGAAACCCTCAGCTTCCACTTACCCTTCTTTGAGCAGAAATCAAACCAGTAGTTTCAACATACTGTAGGATGTGGGTAGATTAACATGGACTCTGAAAACCACAGCATCTATTGTAAGTCAACAGCGTGGATTTGAGCACCAAGCATCTCCAGCACGGGAGGAAGGCACACTAGCAGGACAGCTGGAGTACCTTTTAAAGGAATAGTTCACCTAAAAATAAAACTACTTCATCATTTACTCATCCTCCACTTACTCCAAACCTGCTTGAGTTTCTTTCTTCTGTTGGACACAAAGAATGGTGTGCTCAAGTCGGTCGGGAAACAAGCTGCCATTAACTTTCACAGGATTTTTGTCACATTATGTAGCATCACTCACAAGTGCACCAGTTTAGCCCAGGAAAAACAATATGTATAAGCCTAGGATACTCACATAAACCCCATCAGTTGGACATTTGACAACGCATGCCCCTCCCAGCATCTCACATTGTGCACTAACCTGCTTGGATATGAGTTGATAGGAGTTGCAGGAGTGTGTTTGTACATGCTGTGTGCTCTGTGATGAATCTGTGTGGTGAGCTCACATTGGGGACAGTGCGTATTTGCAGTATGTATGTCTCTATGCTAGAGTGCGCTCTCACCGTGTGAAATCCTCCTCTTCTTCTCTCTTCTGTCGCAGCTGTTTGGGTTGGGTCATGCTGGCCCAGTTGGGCAGAGACTGGAGCAGGCGACTAATGTCTTCATCTTTAGCCCAGGACGCACTGATGGTTAGCTTCTCCTCAATTTGTACGATATGCCTGTGTGTGTTAATGGAAATAGATTGTCAGTGTGAGCACTAAAGTTTTGCGGGGTTAGAATATGTGATATACACTGGCATGAGACATTTTATTATCAATCTTCGAATGATTTATTCTCTAAAAATCCATTACTTAATAACCATTACTTAATTGTATTATGTTTAATCCACTTAAATTTGAAAAAAAAAAAACAAGTAAGGGTGCCTTCACACCTTGACATTTGTTACGGAACCTGTTATGCGGCTCAGTTAGCGTGGTTCAATTGGCATATGTGAATCCAGCGATTGCGCTCAGATCCTTGCCAAATCAATTGGTCCAAGATCTTCTGAATGAGGTAATTTTGGCTTGATTGAAACAAACTCTGAAGTGGATCGATTGTAGTGAGAAAGCAATATGATCCAACGAACTATTGAACCAGGCTATATCAAAGTGTATTATGGCTATGTAATAGGCATATACAGTTAAAATCAGAATCATTAAACCCCCTAAATTTTTAGCCCCCTGTTAATTTTTCCACATTTTTCTGTTAAACAGAGATTTCTAAACATAATAGTATAAATAACTTATTTCTTATAACTGATTTATTTTATCTTTGCCATAGATAATATTTGACTAGATATCTTTCAAGACACTTCTAAACAGGTTAAAGTGACATTTAAAGGCTTAACTAGGTTAATTAGGTTAACTAGGCAGGACAAAGAAATTAGGCAAGTTTTTGTATAACGATGGTTTTTAGACTATCTGAAAAAAAAAAATAGCGTAAAGAAGCTAATCATTTTGACCTTAAAATGGTTTTTAAAAAATTAAAAACTGCTTTTATTCTAGCCAAAATGAAACAAATAAGTCTTTCTCCAGAAAAAAAATATTATCAGACATACTGTGTAAATTTCCTTGCTCTGTTAAACATCATTTAGGAAATATTTTAAAAATAAATAAATAAATCAAACAGGGTATAATAAATCTGATTTCAATTGTATATGGATATGAAGAGAGATTTAGGAGTAGGGCGGGATGTCGTTCATCATCATCATTCCAAATCTGCTTTTCACATCGAATATGAAAGTGAAAGCATGCTGAAATATTACCAAGTATTGTTTATCCGTTAGAAAAATTGACTGAAATTACCATCTGATAACTTTTCTATATTTAAATCTTATTATAATTTGTATTAGGCCTATTTTTTTTTTGTTTTTTTTTCCATTTCTTCACTGACACTGAAAAAACACTGACTTCAGTCTCGGTTCATCCGTTAAATCTCTCTGTAATTTAATCCTATAATGCATAATTCTAGCAAACGTTTTTTAAAATAGATTTTTGAAACTGAAATGAGGCTATGTGTGACAAAGTCTTACCTCGCTGATTTATATTTGCTGACAATGTCTGTGGGTGTCAAAACTAAAAAAAAACTGTCAAAAACTGAATCCATAGGACTCTGAAAAATAAATCCTGAAACCCAATGTGAGGCGAGTTTACTCCTACCTGACTTGTCTTAACTATTTTGGTCCGTTTAGAAACTTTGCCGTGTAAAATTGAACTGTACCAAAAAAAAAAAAAAAAAAAAAAAAAAAACTTGCAACAATTTGAATGCCTGTTTCTGAAGAAAACAATCAATATTAAGTTAAAACATTCGAAGTTAACTGAATCGATTGCATTTTTAACAGTGAACTTTTTTTTCTATTTGTTTTTCTTACTAACTAAATAAATAAATAAATAAAAGTATATAAACTAATTGTCCATGTATAAAAACGTGTACACTGCGTTAACTATTATTATGAAACTGTTCACATATTAATATATTCATCATTTACTGTTTGCTGTATAATGATTTGCTAATACATAAAAGTGTTAAAATTGCGTAAGAAGCTCCAATTGTGACAAAGTCTGTGATTGGCTGAGGGTTTGAAGAAGCTCCATTTTACTTCATGTCTCAAAGAGTGCTAAAATATGAAAATGAACCGCAATTTCAGATAAATGTCTTCGCTATTGCATAAGCAGGCCATTAAAGATGTTCACTGGATGACAGCTGAACACAGTTCCACAGAAGAGTCCTGATGATGCAGAGAGGCAGACGAGAGCGCGGATGAATGAACTGTTATTGTCTGCGATGTGTAGATTGATTGAACAGATCATGTAGAATGTAATGCAGTGCGTTTCACTCAACTTATGGATGAGAAAGACGGAGAGAACAAAAGAAAGACAGAGGAGGAGACAAAGAGAGAGACAGATTGGTAGCATGCGATTATTGTGCAAGGAAACGGCTGTCTCTGCACTTTCTACCCATGACTGAGCTCAGTTCAGACCCCTTGCTGACTTACACATATGTGTGTGCATGCAACCAATCAATGATTTCCAAAAAATTCCCAGATTTCCCGAAGGACCAGAATGATGTCTGCTGAGAAATCATAAAAGCTTACATTAAGCAATTTATTAATGTTGGATGAATTAGCGTTCAGAAAATCTTTTCATCTCTGAGTCTAAATCAGAAACTTGACCCTCTGAAAAATTCCTACAATTTTTCAGATCATACGGATTGATGAACTGGGGTGCATAAGGTTGCGAGTTCCGTTGTTACAAACATAGTTCATTGATTTGACATTTCCCAAATCCATCGTTCCAACGAACAATCGCAAACTTGTTGCAAATTTGTGCACTTGCAACTACACCTCTGGAGCTGTAGCTAAAAACATAGTTTCTGGCTGTGTTCTATTCCCAGTTATCACCGCTATGCCCTATTCATTTAGAACATTCTAACATTTAAATTTGGAATGATTAAAATTTTTTTTTAAAGCATTAAAGTAATCTCTCTTACCTGTAATTTGCTTTCAAAATTTTTTTACAGTTCAGTTTTAGCGATCTTACAATTAGCAAGTTTACAATTGTGTTTGAAAACATTGATGTCATTTTGAACACAGCAGAACAGAATTTAAGTTACGTCTGAAAAAACAAAAACATAGCATACGTTAATGCTTTTATTTTATAGTGTTTTAGGTATTATAATAGTTATTAAGATATAACATGTTAGTTAGAACAATTCTGCAGTGGTAAAAGAATGCACAAATTACGTTTGTTTACGTTATTCAGAGTATAAAAATAAAAAAATAAAAAAAATAAAAATAAATGACATTATCCTACTTAAGATCAACAACAACAACAATAATAATAATAATCATCATCATTATTATTATTATTAATATTATTATTAAATTAGAATTTTTTCATTTCCTTATAAATAATAAATATTAAAAGATTTTATAATATGTGTTAGCTTTTGTGATTTATGTTTTAGAACAGAAAATGTAATGTTCTCAATAATATTTGTAAAGAAAACATTGGCCCTATATGTGCCATTTACATATATTTCAATTAATATGGAAAAGGAGTGCATGTTTTTACCAAAACTAATATTGGATTTTTTTTTAAGTGTGTGAGTGTAGAATAATCTAATATGTACAAAGAGATGATGGGGTTCTTCTCTAAAGAAGTAGTTACTATTCCCTGATTAGAGCAACATTATGAGCGTTTTACGTTCAAACTAACGTGGTGTAATTGTGGGATCTGCGATTGAGAAACTACAGGTTTTAGGAAACACTCGTCACTAGATTGTTCTTTTCCCAAACGATGCATCGTACTATGGTAGTTCAGCTGCGAGTTATGTCGTTGTTTGGGAAACGCACTCCTGGATTGTCATGGTAGGCTATGCTGTATGTTTTTGATTCTCAGAAAAACGGAAACAAACGTAAGAAATCATTTGTACAGGAATCAGCCAATGCCATCCGTTGTATATGTTTTTGATTCAGTGGGAACCGCTTCATAAGAGTCATTCATTCAAGAACAAGGTAACACTGGTTAAATGTTTGATTAGCTCAAAAGAACCATTTTAGGGACCTTTATTCATAAGTTGAACTCCACTGCTTTTATGTTCCTGATTTAGTAAGAAACCCTTTATTAAAATCATTAATTCAATACTGGTTAGGTGTTTGATTCATTTTGATTCACAATGAACAATATCAGTCATTTGTTCATGAATTGGACAACACTGATTCAGCTGTATATTTCTGCAGCATTAAAAAGAACCAGCTCAGAAGAATCATTTGCTCAGAATAAATCAGACTATGCTGACCATGCTGTGTGTGCTCATTCACTTTGAAGGAATACTTAATACAAGTCATTTATTTGTGAATGGGACCTGATTGGTCATGCTGTATGTTTTTGATTTTTATTATTATCATTGACTCATTAAAGTATAATTTGCATAGAAATAAGACAACTCAACAATGTCTTGACATTTTAACGTACAACTTTATCTTTTCATTTCATCACATACAATACAGACAACATCCAAACAGATAAAATAAGATTTTGCGCATCAAACACTATCATTACCTGTATGCAGTGTTACAGATCTCCTTGTACTCCTTGAGTTTGTCGCAGACCATCTCCAGAAACTGGTTGGAATACGCACTGAGATCCTGCATCAGACTCATTAGATCCTGAATGGACTTCTCCACCACCACAGTGCTCTGAAAATACACACACAGACACTCAAGATGATACTCTCTGCAGTCAGGCCATCACCTCTATTCTTTTCAATGAATCAGACGATTGCTTCAGAGACTCTAAATGTCGCTGTTGTTAAGGTGCGGGGGAGGTTCTGGTCTGAGGTCAGGGTTGAGTTTAAGGTTGACCGGTACAGTCGCCCTCTATAAAAGACCATGATGGACTACAAACGCTGCAGTCTATGTGCTCAATTGCTCGCTTTTGAGCAAACATGTCAAATAGGCTGAAAAACAAATTGACCGATCCCTCCATTCACCTGTCAGAGCCGGACTGTCTCAGAGAGCGAAACGTATGATCATCAGTGTATGGAAACGTCAAACCTTCACTTGTTATCAACGTAGAGTCACTTCCTTAACCCTCACTAAAAATGCCTGTCATTAAATTTTATGACGATATAGCTTCAAACAGAACAGACGCCCGGAAATGGAGCCACATTTTAAACACTGCGAAGGGCTAAAACAAAAGAGCCATGAGTATTAGCATAGGCACCAACATTTGGCTGGGTTTCTAATGCCGGCACTGGCTGAATGAAAGTGACAGCGAACATTAGCGCATCATTGGCAATGGTGATGCCTAGTGCACCAACTGATGGCTTCCTTGTGGCATTGGCACAAACAGACTGTTAATTGAACTCAATCCGACCAAATCGTGAGCTACTCTGCCCTGCAGGGGGCAGCGGTGAGGGCCCTGAGTGTTTTTATTATTATTAGCGCATTGCTGCACATTTGTCGTACAATCTGCTAATACACATATCAATGCCTGCTGCTTGCGCCCCCTGCCTGAGCCCCAGGGGCGGAGAGCCGGGTAATGATCCGTGGCACTGGCCTGCCCCGTCCAGCTCGCTAGCAGTCAAACAGCACGAAGAAACCAACAGGGGGTGGGGGAGAAACCACTCAGCGGGGAAACGCTAGCCTTCAAAGCTGTGCCCCTGATCGCTCTGAAACAAGTCCATCAATGCCATAGTTTGTCTGATTATGTGTGAGCAAAAGCCTGGAAAAGATTGGCATGTTGTGTGGGAAATTGTTTTAGTACAGTATACTGAATATATTCACTTACTAGGCCTGTCACAGTAATCAATATATAGACTTATTGCACAACACATAAACATGACCTCAATACTTTATGGTGATGCAATAAATATCGCCCATACATAAAAGCCAATTCCAGCCACATTTTAGCTGAATGCACAGCCTCTCTACACTTAAAAATCTTTTTTGCTGCTTGTTCAAACTACTTATATATATATATATATATATATATATATATATATATTTTTTTTTTTTTTTTTTTTTTTTGGACAACTTAGCTTTTTAAGTTATTTTATTTTTGTTTATTCCACTTAAATTTGCAAAACAATTAACTTAATCAATTTGTTTTGAGACACCACAATGAAATTTTGCATTCAAGCTATCAGAGTCAGTTTGGTTAAAAAACACTATTTACTATAAATAATTATAGTATATAAACAAAAATAGATTGGTTACTTTTTTGTAGCTATTTCTACCTTGCACTTTTTTGTTACATTTTATTATTATTATTTATTTGTTCAGGATATATGTTTTCACATTCTGATTCCAATGCCTAATTATTAAATTGTTAAAATGACAATATAAAAAATATAAGATGTTCTTAAAATCTAAGATGTTCTTTAGAAAAGTGTGCTAGCGTTATATGATGATATTATAGTGTCAAAAGGGTCACAAAAAGTCACAAAAAATAATTTATCTATTATTAATAAAATCATTTTATTGTTATATACAGTTGAAGTCAGAATTATTAGCCCCCCTTTTAATTTGTTTTTTCTTTTTTAAATACTTTTCAAACAATGTTTAACAGAGCAAGGACATTTTCACAGTATGTCTGATAATATTTTTTTTTCTTCTGGAGAAAGTCTTATTTGTTTTATTTTGGCTAGAATAGCAGTTTTAACATTTTTAAAAGCCATTTTAAGGTCAAGGTTACTAAGGTTATTAGCCCCTTTAAGCTATTTTTGGTTTTAGTCTACAGACCAAACCATTGTTATACAGTACAATAACCTGCCTAATAACCCTAACCTGCCTAGTTAACCTAATTAACCCAGTAATGCCTTTAAATGTCACTTTAAGCAGTATAGAAGTGTCTTGAAAAACATCTAGTCAAATATTATTTACTGTTAAAATATTATTAATATTATTTACAGATAAGCTAGACCAAAACAACAACAACAACAACAAAAACAACAACAAAAACAACAAGATTCCTCAATATTGACAAGACATCTCATCTGAATTTATATGTTTGAACAAATAATCTGACAACCACTATAAACTGCACTGGATTGAATGGAATTTAATTGCATTCCATTGACTACATCTGCTCAAAAATCTACATATTTCTTATAATACATCAACATAACATAAATATTACTTTGAAAACCTTTTAGACAAAATACATTCATTTCACTAGCACAAATCTTCACTCAGATGAAAAAAAGAGATTAATGATTCATGCTGTGGTTCACAAATAGGTGAAGGCCACATACTGTACATAAATAGGTGTAGATATATGTTTAGATGAATAAAAAGGGTATTTTGACACCTATTGGCCCTCTTTACATACTTAACCTTTAACATTTTTGTAGTGTAAATACCTAATTTCCCAGTATTTATCTTTTATAATTATGATATTTGTATTAAATATAGTTTATATTAAATGAAACATCTTATAGGTCATGCATAGATAAATACATTAGACTTAAATACAAGTAAATTACATTTTTAAGTTAATTACATAAAATGCACACGTGAATGTACAGAATGCATTCATACATCCAACCAATTCATAAATGAGACAGTTCTAAATAACTGATTAGAGAAAATGAATTGATCAGCCCCAAAACGACTGCGCTAATGGGCTTTAAATGAGTAAATAAGTCTTAGCGGTCTCATACACACAAGTCATGGCCGTCGTGACACAAGGAGTGATTGTGAAACTGCCGTGGCCTTTAGGAAAGTCGATATCCAGTTGAAAAAGTGCATTCAAATAGTAGTCAATGTTTATGATGTGATCCCATTCTACATCACCAACATAATACAGAATAGATCATGCATTTTCGATAAACCCTAATTAAAACTACAGAGAATGACCAAAGAAATTTCATACAGGAATCTGCGATATTCAGTCTCTCTCTCAATCGCCCCTGCTCATTTGTGAAGCTCAATATTTCCCAGTAAACAAAGTCTCTAAGCTCCATTATTCAAGTAACAAATGCCCCAGCGCTCTGCGGCACATGTCTAATTCTCCTCATTTAACACACTCATTCGTCTTAGCCCCAGAAATCATTAAAAAGTAATCAAGCTCCAGAGAGAGCGAGAGAAGGAGAGAAAAATAGAGTTGAAGGATGGATAGAAGCCTCGCGAGCGAAACCGACAGACAGACGGCGAGCGCTTTAGAGAGAGAAAAAAAAAATAATCAAACCGGCAGAGCTTCTCTTGTCTCATCGCTAGCTAAAATCCTTCCTTTCTACTTAAATGCCACACTGTGCCATGGGAGATTTAGGAAGTGTTGCCGGAAATCTGACCCATTCTTACACTATAGGGGCACTTTTGAATTCTTCCTGGAGAACGTCCAACTGCGGCAGACTTGATTACAGTCCTGCTTCTTTATACGGAGGTGTTTTAAATGAGCCGAGTCGCTGGAGGGACTGTTTGCTGATGGCTGAAGGTTTAGCGCAGTATAAATGAAGAGAGTCATAATAATGAATGCTCAGCGTGTGTTGGGACTCGCAACACACAGTGGAGCTGAGAGAACATAACGCACATGCTTTGGGACTCTCGGAGGCCTGACTGTGGATATACACACACAAATACGCCATACACAGAAGAGTCGCAGAGAACACAGAGTAGAAGTGTGAGAGTCGCTGCAGAAATGGCAGAGCTTTCTGTAATGGCTGCCAATTGTGGAAATCGCTCGCAGATAGCTGTTTCAAAGGGAAAAAAGCTCGATGAGTGAGTGATTTTTGCTCAGATCTACTCGAACACAAATTAGACTTATTTATGGGCATGATAACGATTGAAATAATAAAAACATGTAGATGAATAATAATATACAGTACAGTAAGTATAACCTGTTATTCAGTACAAGTTATGTCTAATAAATAAGAAAAAATGGCCACTTCGAAAAAAAAAATTTAGCTTATGACATATGAAAATAAAAATTATATTAAAATATAATAATATTAAAAATAATAGTTGTATACATCTATTGTATACATTTTGAATGTCTTATTAACGTAAAAAAGTAAAATCATATTCCTTTTAACTTGCAGAAAATTCAGAAAAACTTAATAACTTTAAGTAATAATTTTATAAATAAAATAATTATAATTTTAATTCTAATAATTTTAGCTCAATAATTTGTTCTAAAACATGTATATTATGTGGAATTAGTTTAGTTTAAATTTAAAACTTTATTAATACCCTTGGGGCAATTCCTTCTGACATGGTGGTGCTTTACATATAACAAGAATGACCAAGACTTAACATCAAGTACACGATCAAAAAGAAAAAGAAAAAGAAAAAACTAATACAGTAATTAAAAACTACATTTATTACGTAACCAAATTGCTTAAGGCATGAAAGTAAAATCTATAAAGATTTGCGGAATATTTTATTGTCCTTAGACGTTGTCCAAAGGGCATTCACTCAAAATATCTGTTTAAAAGGCTCCAATTTTACCCCTTTTACAAGATGCAAGATAAGCCTTTGGTGTCTCCAGAATGTGTCTGTAAAGTTTCAGCTCAAAACACCCATCAGATTACTTTTTATAGCCTTGGTGTCTGAATATGTTATAGCTGTTCCGCACACCGTGCTTTATGTCAGATAAACAGCAGTCAGTGACAGAGACAGACTCGGATGAAGCTGAAATAGAGCTCATTAGTCAAAAATACCAAGTGAGTTTATTTTATGTATTTGTGGTGGAGTTT